GCAATAAATAAAATAAAAATTTTGAAAATTAAATTAAAATGTTATTTTTAAAAAAAATATCTATCTTCATATTTTATCAACTTCCATTATCAACTTTCATTCCACCATTTATTTTATAGATATATTTATTCATTTCCTAAATTTTACGAGATTTAGAGCTCTTACAAGTTATTTAATATAAATTTATAATAACATATTAATATTTATTTTAATAGGTAAATGTAAATGTAAATGTCCATTATAGATTTAGAAGATTCTATTGCTTCTACTATTGATGTAACAGCAGATATAAGTGAGAATGAGAATCTTTTACTATTTTTGAAATTACGTAAGTATTTTACTTTATGTGAAATGGATGAAAGCAACTCTTATAATATGATCAGCACCAAATGCCGTCTCTGTAAGAAGATAATCATCTTCCAAAATATCATCCTCGAACTTAAAGAGACATTTACAAGTAATTCTTTTAAATTTTTTTTATTTGATAATCTTAATGTCAACATGTTTAAATTTAATTTATTACATTCCTGAGTTGAGCAGGTCCTACAGAATTATAAAAATGAATTATTAGATACAGTATAATTAATAAAATATTTGATGAAGAGTTAATCTTGGTTTTGTTATTTATATATAATAATTAGGCATTTATTTTTTAATATTACTATTATATTAGTTTAATTTTCAAAAGAAGAGTATTTATAATAAATGGAAGTGTAATAACTAATAATTAAGCCTTTATAATGTATTTTGACTTTCTTTAATATAATTAAAACATCCAGTTCAATGTTATTTGTATTGAACTTAGCAATGTTTCACCAAAAGAAAAATAAATATCTATACTATTATTTCTTTATTATAATATGTTAAATCTAATCAATTAGTATTATAGTTTCAGTTTGAGCTTGATTATATAATCCACTTGACAAAATTTTTAGGGCTTTTTTTAATAATATATTTTAAATTGAAAGTATTTTTTGTATCATTTGACTCAATCCATAAGTTCTTAAATGCCAAAAAGCCTCATTATATTCATAATAGAATAATACTTTATCAAAATCTTTGGCCCATATCATCTTGGGCAACTTTTAATAATGATAGACAATATTGTAAACGTAAATATTTAAGATAACCTACACCCTTTTAACCACTAATAAAACATACTCTAATATGTTTAACAAAATTTGTTGAACCCTTAATCCATAGTTCTTAAATGCCAAAAAGGCTAATTATATTCATATATAGGAAAATATTTTATCAAAATCTTTAGCCCATATCATCTTGGGCAACTTTTAATAATGATAGACAAAGACAATATTGTAAACTTAAAATTTAAAAAACCTATATGAACCTTTTTTAACCATATATAAATTAAATAATATACTTTAATATGTTTAACAAAATTTGTGTTGAACCCTTTATCATTTTTTCGTTTATATAGGTTTTACATTCAGACTGTACATTGTTTTTTTTAACTTTAAATTTCCATATAAAATTTTAAAAATGAAATTTGATTCAGGAGAAGTTATTTTCATCCAACTTTGATACATACTTTTTTTTTCTTTTATAAAGAAAAAGCACAGTGAATTTAAAAAGATTATCAAACACCTCAACGAATTCTCTACACAAAAAAATATATCACTGGCAAAATCAAAGTGGTTCTGGTTGCAAATCCAGACAATCTAAATTAAATTTTAACAATCTAAACATTCCAGCTATATCGCAAAAAACAGCAGACAAGGTTATCATGAATTTTATTATTGACACCTTCCAACCACTGTCTCTGGTTGATGATCCTTCATTTGAAAAAATGAGTAAAACTTTTTCTCCTGAAATTATTTGTCGCCAAACACTGGGCAACAGGATATCTACTTCCTTCTCTTATATGACGACAAATCTTATAAGAGATTTGTCTAAAGTTTCTTATATATACACCACTGCTGATTGTTGGAGTGGTCATCGAAGGTATATTATATTTATATGAATTTTATAATGTTTATTTTATTAGGGCTTTTATTGGACTTACTGCACATTGGCCTGATCCGTTAACCCTCAAGAGAAGGTCAGCCGCTTTGGCACTGAGGAGGATAATTGGGAGGCAAACATATGTTGTTTTGGCCCACGAAATCATGGGTATCCACAAGTTCTATAAAATTCATAATAAGGTGGTGAAGATGGTGACTGACAATGGAACCAACTTTGTCAAGGCATTTAAGTAATATTTATATTTAGCAAAAAATATTTAAATAAATTTATTTTTTCTAGAGTTTTTGGAGAAAATCAAGAAGATAATAGTGAGGATATGGAATTGATAAATTTGGATGACATATTATCCGTTGATGACCCAATTATTCCTACTATCAGCCTACCAAAACATCAACATTGTTGTTGCCATAATCTTAACCTTATTGCAACAACAGATGCGGAGATGGCAGATAGTGATCTCAATTTTAAACGAATATCTAGATCCACTTTTGCAAAATATTTTGCTTTAGTTAATAAACAAAATATGTCGTCAAAAATGGCGGATATTTTATTGGAGAAATTGGGAAGTTATTTAATAGCTCCCAACAAGACAAGATGAAATTCTCATTACCAATCCATGAAATTAATAGATAAGATGCTTTCTGAAAAGTTTTCAGAAGTAGAACAAGTATGTGATCAAATTGGATTTGCAATGTTTAGGCAGGAGGAATGTTATTTTGTTAAAGAGTATGCAACAGTAATACAATGATATTCTCTAAATAAGGTTATGGAACCTTTGGCGATCTCGTTAAAAATCTTGGAACGGGAGGATAATATGGAGCAAGGATATATAACTCCCGTTCTATCGATATTGATAGATAAATTAACGAAATTTAGCTGCCTGCGGTATTGTCAGCCCCTTGTAGATAGTGTTCTTAGAGGTATTGATAAAAGGTAATATTTTTTTATGCAATTATTTTATATTATCAGATATCTGCAAAATATATTAAAAAATTGCAAAGATCTGGCAAATTTAGTAAAATATTTTTAACAGGCCAGTTCTACTAAACCTCTGATATCTAGTAAAATATTAATGGGCCTTTGAAGACATTAAAAATTTATTAGATTATTTGAATTTTAAGCTAATATTTAGATTAATATTCTTTGTAAATAAATTACAATGTTAACTTCTTTGTATATTAAGTATTAAGTTTACATTTAATCAATATTTATGATATGACCCAAATATAAATAAATACCATACAGATGATGTGCCAGACTTGACTGTAAAATTTAAAAGGGTTAAGTTTTTCAGGTACTTGATTTGATTTATATGAATAAAATGAACACTTATTTAATAATAAATTAATTATCATTTCATAATATAGATTTCCTTCACTGTATGAAGACAGTAACATTTTGGCAGCCATGATTAACCCTAAATTTAAATTTAATTGGCCTTATATTAATCTGCCACAAAATATGATGGTAAAAGAAAGATTAGTTGCCCTTTTGGAAAATATGCAGGAACAACCATATGCGGATACCTCAAATGAATGTATGGATGACATTGATGCTTTTTGGGGGAAAAATACTGTACAAAATGCTTGTTCCGTTAAAAATTTTTTTATTCAAATGATGATTCCATGAATATTTTTAATACTTATATTAATTTTAAATAAATATTTATTGAATATAATACACCTTTGCCATCAAGCGCTTCTGTGGAACGCTTGTTTAGTAAAGCTAAACATGTTCTAAATGAAAGACGCGGATGTTTAAATGATGATAATTTAGAAAAAATTTTATTATTAAAAGCTAATTTTAATTATAAATAAATATATTATAATTGTTATATTTATTATTCAATTACAATAAATTTCTACCATATGTAATATATTTTTATATTAATTTGCATCGGTTATATTATATTATTATTCAATTACAATAATTTATAACATATATTAGTTAATTTTGCATCGGTCAAAAATTTCCTATAGAAATTTAAATAGAAAAAAAGATCGTGATCGCGATCGTGATCTTTTTTTTAAAAAAAGGTCGATCCTGTATTTCGATCCTCTGTTTTTGAAAAGATCGTGATCGGGATTCGATCGTTTTAAAAAGATCGGTTAACAAGCCTGGGTGCTGATCATATTATAAGAGTTGCTTTCATCCATTTCACATAAAGTAAAATATTTACGTAATTTCAAAAATGGTAAAAGATTCTCATTCTCACTTATATCTGCTGTTACATCAATAATAGAAGCAATAGAATCTTCTAAATCTATAATGAACATTTACATTTACCTATTAAAATAAATATTAATATATTATTATAAATTTAATATAAATTTATAATAATATTATAATAACTTGTAAGAGCTCTAAATCTCGTAAAATTTAGGAAATGAATAAATATATCTATAAAATAAATGGTGGAATGGAAGTTGATAAAATATGAAGATAGATATTTTTTTAAAAAATAATATTTTAATTTAATTTTCAAAATTTTTATTTTATTTATTGCTTTTTAAGTAAAAAATTAATTTTTAAAAAGATCGGGATCGAATTTTAAACAAAATGATCTCGATCCTTAATTTAAGTCAGAATCATAAATCTCGTAAAATTGACAAATTTCGATAGAATACAGGATCGTCGATCTTTCGATTCGATCTTTTAACAACTCTGATGATGTATAAGATGGAATGTTAGATATTATTTCAATGGATGCTTTGATGAATGAGTGTTTGATATGGTATGATGAATACTATTGGCTATTACGTAAATTTAAAAATATAAGTGTTGGAATTTAATTAATTCCACGTTTTATCATTGATAATTATTTCACATTTTATAGTGATTATCATTTTATTTTTAATCATAATTTAAATTTTATTATATGATAAATTACATTTTTATTTTTAAAGATAAATTACATTTTATGATCTTTATATATCTTCTTTTTTTTAAACAATAATAAAAAAATAACTAATACAAATTGATGTATAAAAAAAATGTTAATATAAAATTTTCACCGATTAAATTTAAATACAAATTGATATATAAAAAAAATAAATCAATTGCCAAATAAATAATAAAATAACATCGATCAACATATTCAACATTCCACCCTCCAAAGAAATTCGGCTTATGATTTCCTTGGATAAGTTGAGTGGTAACGTCATTAACATTCATGATCACCACACAATACGCCACCCATGTTCATGGTGCAGTCTTCTTTTCAAACCTCAAGTGAACTTTCTCTTGTCTGACCATTTTGGGTTTGTAGGTGTAAGTTGATTCGAAGTCTTTATTTGTTGTCGAGATTATCTTCTAGAGATCATTCTCTACATTACCAACTAAGAACGTTTTAAAATGTTGTTGAAGGTGTGGAGCCACATACGTCCTAGCAGGGGGATCTTATCACAATCCACTACAATGGCCTCCAGTGTATGTGAGTTTCCTTCATACTTAACGTTCACATTGGCAAGACCTAATATCTTGATAGCGCTGCCGTCATAACCAGTGAGTCTCATGTCCGTCTTATGTATCGTGGTTATGCCTACAGTTTTAGCTGTCAGCTTCGGAAGTATACTGTACCTGGTACCGGTGTCAACTTGCATCAACTTGGGTATGTTGTTGATGCTCACTGCCACGTTGTACGCGTAATATGTGGTATCCTTGACCCCCATATTGTACACTTCCAAATTCTGCAGATTATATTCTTTATGGTCTGTGTTTGAGTCATCGTCATCATCAATTACTTCGATGTTCATAGCATGGTTCGTATTCAATTGACAATCACGATCTTTGTAATCAGAAGATCTATTGTAATGTAAAAAGAACAATTTGAATTAAGAATAAAAAATTTCTGAGAATGTTTTTAACCATCATTCAACGACACCTTGTCATTTTTGTACTGGTTGGGCCTTGGCGAATATTTCGGAAAACCATTAATATTTTGAGGGTTGTGTCTGTGCTGACCACGACGGGGATAGTTGGTTCGGTTATCACCTCTATAGCAGTCATCCCGTCGATTAGGGATTTGATGATAATCACAATGAGAGTCGTGGCGATTGCCATGGACGTTGAACCCGCTATTGTATCATCGATCGTCGTAGTAGTTATCGTTGCGATTATCGAAACAGTTGCGGTTATAGTGACAATTATCGTAGCTTTTATCAAAACGATTGTCGTGGAAGTTGCTGTACCGTCCGTTGAATCGTTTGTCGCGGTCGTTGTCGTAGCGTATATCTTAACGTTCATCAAATCGTTTGTCACGCCAATAGTCGTAGCGTAAATCGTAACGATCATCGAAATACTGTGCGGGGCGATTGTCATTGATGAACTGGGATTGCTTGATAAGAGATTTACCATGTGCGTGAGAGTCCCGAATGAGATTTGTTGTTACGTAACTATTTTTTACTCTGCCCATGTGATTGACCTCTTGTACACCAGGTCATTCATTCAAATGTAACAATTTCATCTCGCCCATGATGCCACTTAGGTCCGCGGTGTCTTCCTCTAGACCTAGATTGTAAATGTCTTTTATGGTCATAGAGCTCTTGACCGCTTTCCTGACATCTTTGGAATACAAAGATACTCTCACTTTCTCAATAATTCTCTGAAAGCCATATTTACATTCTTTGTTGAGTCGTGCTACACGCGTGACCCAAGACGAGAACGTCTCCTCCTTGCCTTGTGTTTCAGCATTAAATAATGATAAATTAGCGTTCTCAATCTTCTATGGATGTTGTAACTTGAATTTGTCAAGCAGTTCGTTGGGTCCTAGAAGTCTTCCTCAGTGCAAATTGCCCCAATATTATTGAATTCATCATCAGGAAAACTTCGGAGAAATAAAGCGGCCTTTTCTCCGTTGGAGATCTTGCTGGTGTTGAAGAAATTCTGCAATTTCCCTATGTAGGCGCTGTCATCGCTACTAAATTTGGGGAAATAGCAGCTTGACAAATTCAGTCATATATGTGGAATTGTTCAAAGCATCCATCGTAAGAGAATTATAATCGATAAAGGCATGAAATAGAATAAATGTACATTGCAAAATCAAGATCAAATTTTGAGATAGTACTTACGCAGAGTTCAAACGTAGATTGGCCTCCATGTTGGAATTGAATTAATTCCACGTTTTATCATTGATAATTATTTCACATTTTATATTGATTATCATTTTATTTTTAATCATAATTTAAATTTTATTATATGATAAATTATATTTTTATTTTTAAAGATAAATTACATTTTTTTATCTTTATATATCTTTTTTTTAAAACAATAATAAAAAAAATAACTAATACAAATTGATGTATAAAAAAAATGTTAATATAAAATTTTCACCGATTAAATTTAAATACAAATTGATATATAAAAAAAATAAATCAATTGCCAAAATAAATAATAAAATAACATCGATCAACATATTCAACAATAAGAATACCTATTTAATACTTTGAATTTTAAAGTAGCAACACAATAATATTTCAGATAATTTTATTATTTTTGCAAACCATTAGCTATTACAGTAGAAAATTCTTTAAATTAAAGATAAATATATGAATTTGACAATAAATTTATAAGCGCATTTTTGGCCACTATTTCTTATCTCTACTTTAAAAATCGTTGGATTGATGGTGAATTAGAAAAAATACCTTCAGGATTTATTAATACATGATGCTATAATTATTTTAAAAATAATATTGAAATTAATATGTCAACAATATCTTCCATTGATGAAGATGATGATAAATATATAAAAGAAGAAATATTTATTAAATTTAACACAATATTATAATCCTCTGTCCCCGTTGAACGATTATTCAGCTTTACAAATATGGTAAATAGAACAAATAGTCAAAGATTGAACGACATATTATTATTAAAAAATAATGCTGATTATGTTGATTTATTGATATTTACCAATTAATTTTTTGTTCTCAATTTTTTAAAAAAATATCGTTTATATCGCATATCTTATATAACAAATTTGTTATTTTTTACACATTATTTTCATATTTTTTATAAATTTATATTATAGTTAAAAAATAAGAAGCTTGATACATTTTGATTTTGATTATTTAAAGTTTTTTATATAAAGTATCTTGTATCTTCGATACTTCTTTAAAAAGAAACAAGTATCTTGTATTTTATTGAAATTTTTCCAGAGTATCTTGTCAAAATTTTATAAATTATCTGTATCTGTATCCGAATAAAATTTTCTGAGAATTTGCCCAACCCTGAATACAATGGATATATTTGGTAAGGCTTCCTTTATATTAATGTTAATATAGTGTAAAATTTCCAATGGAGTTTTATTGGGATGCTTGCTTACTTAACGTATTCACTAACATTTTTAATTCAATTAACAGCATCTTGAGAATCAATATCGCCTTCTATATCCTAATCTGTGAATAAAATATTTAATTTATCACAGGACTCTCTTTCGGGGGCATTTATCAATTCTGGTATATTAATTAAATAAGAATCCAAAATGATCTTTAAAGAGCTTTAACTGCTGGAAACTTTTCTCAAGCGAATTTCTCACTTGATCTAGTAATACATTGAAAAATTCAATCTGATATTCTTTTTGAGGATCATGTATAGGCGTGTCATCTCCTTTGTAAAAAAAATTGTTTTTGAATTTTCCTTCTACTAATTAATTACTGCAGGAAAGCATTTCCTGAGTCAAGGGAATTTTGAAAGCCGTTTCCTTAAAGCGATCTAAAAAATCTTGCCTACTTTCTATAAGTATAATGGCCTTTCCAATTCAATATTTTCACTTTGCATGACTTAACTTAATAAATTCACCTGAGTTAATAAATCAAACCATATGACAAAGTTACCAAAAATGTAAATTGTTTTAATTTTTTGGCCAATAAAATGGCTTCTATGCAGCATTTATGGTCATTAGTTCTTTTAAATACGTCTGTTAGTTCACCAGCCGATTTTTTGGCTTTTTCATTCTCCACCTAATACTAAGTAAAATTATTTAAATGATCCTTTAAAATTTGCCATCGCTGAGTCTAAACAGAAAAGAGAGTATATATTCTTTGGGAAATGCCAAAAAATGATTTTGCAACTAATGATGATCGTGCCATGTCACCAAGTTGCATATTTAAGTTATGGAAACCACAAGGCAAAAAAAACGCTTTCGTAATATTTGATATTGAATTTATTCATAACATCCTATCATATTTGATTCATTTTCATACCTTGTCCACTACTTTTTTTTCTCTAATCCGAATTTTTTAGATAATGAAAAATATGCTTCTACCAAAATTTAGTCAGTATTGAAATCGATTTTTAGAAGGTCAACAGCTCATTTATTTTCAGAGGAGTTTTTGTTAATTTTTACATAATAACTACGGTTAATTGTTCCAAGTGGCTTGTGTCTGGTGTACAATCTAACATTACGGAAAAATATAATGCGTTTTTAATAGCATTAACAATTTTTTCTGCGATCCTATCAAGCTAATAATTTATTTTGAATTCGATTTCCAAGGTTATAATTTTAAATATTTTTAATTCGACGAAGGTGGTCGAATAATATTATATCAAATTTAATAGTCAAAATGTTTGTTATAATGCATATGGCTAGACATTCCATTGCCAAACATTTTTTCAAAATTCATGCATGGATTATTACAATTCTTAATATTCAAGAGGCTAAATTGTCAGTCTCTAAAATTACCAATTTTGCCTCCCTCCCCCATCTGCTGTCTCTAATGATGAGAATGATCATTCAACGATATCTTAGTAATTAATAAGTGTAATATAATATATATATTGTAGTGTTGCTGGGACATAGAACAATTTTCGCCAACGTGTAATCCCAGAAGTTTTGCATCCTTATTAATTATTTTAATATGTGAAAATATATAATAATGTTATAATCTGTTCACTTTGATGATGTATACATTTCATTTATTTTTCTACTAACAATTTTTCAATATCATTATTATCAAGATCATTTGTAGCTGAAATTAATGTTGATCCATTCAATAATTTAATGATTTGTGTTTTTCACATAATTGACAGAATTGAGCTTTATAACCCTCGTCATGTTCAAGGGCTAATAAAATTTGATACCTGGGGTCTAAATATAATGAAGCATAATGAATCTTATTTAAATAAGTATCCTTTCTAGATCTCAAAGGTAAAGCCTTAGGAATACCTAAGCCATAAAGGCCTAGGTAATCAGTTACATCCCACTTTCCCGCAAATAGGGGAAAGTTGAAAGGATGTAACTCTCATTGGAAAAATGATTGTCTATTCAATACTAAGCGGCATTTTATCCAAATACCATGAAATTCGGAGAGGCAGTGTAGTCTCAACGTTGTCATTTTAAGTGGTTTTTAAACTATAGTTAATTTAGCCATTGAATACCATTCTCTTTCCTCTAGAATAACTTCCGATGTTGTAACAAAGTATATACAAAAATCTTTCCATTTTAACAATCGATCCCGCATATCGTAAACCGATGACCATCTTGCTGTACAGTCAGTTATTGCCATAAGTTTTTCAGTGATTTCAAGATTCCAGCAATCGTTGAACTTGGTAAAAATTTTACCATTTGCTTTGCTAAGTCATTAATCGATTTTGCATAACTTGTCCTTAATGAATCATTAATAGCTAGATATGTGTGTACTGTATTGTAATAAACTTTTGGAGTTAAATCTTATATTTGGTCTAGATCTGCCCTTTCTTCAAATATTATATCATCATTCATATAATTTTCATCCCAACTCTCCCCTTCTACAGATTCCTTTAATAATCTTATAGACTAGATAATATTTGCACTACTATCGATTGTTATAGTGTAAAGATTTTTAATAGAATGTCGAATTTATACAGGGTCTCTAAAATCTTTTTTAAATAATATCTTCCTTTAACTATTTATTTCATTTCTTTCAACCAAATTTCTTGATATGATAATTTACTTCGACATATCTAATAATGATTCCTAGATGCTTCTATTGGTATTTTTTAGCGGAATCAATTTTTAAATAAACTAATATATTTTTGTTTCATTTATTTTTACCACTATTTTTTTTAGACTCATCTGTAATTAAGACCTTAATTTTAAAAAGATTTGTGAACACACCCAGGGCTTTAATGATGGGGTCAATTATTTTTTTAAACCCTCATTGAATGAAAAAGGGGGGCATTAAACAATAGGTTTTTTGTACAATATCTTTCAATTTTATTAATATTATAATCTTTTGTATCAGATTTGGTAATAGTCGAAGTTTCCAAGATTTTCGTTTTTACCCAAACATTCATCAAATTGTTTCGAGTGATCCTCTAAATAGCTATTATGACTCTCTGATAATATTAAATTACATATTCTACATCCAGAATCTCCTTTATCATTAAATTTGAAATATTCCGGGGTCCGACGAATTGGGTTTGAATTCAGGTTCTTAGACCTGTTTCCCCAATAATATTATTTCAATTGAAATCTACAGCTCATGTTGGGATAAACTATCGCTTTACCAATATATTTGATTCAAAATAAAGAACGTTTTGACGTTGTGATTTTTTGTTTCGATTTAAAAGAGTTAATAATTTTGTGAATTCTGTGACTTAAGTTCACCATTTTATCTAATTCAATATATCTTTTTCATAATTTATTTCCGTATTTCAATTGAAAAATAACTGCAAAGTTATAATAAAAAAATTTTCAAAATATTATATTGAATAAGATAAATTTGTAATTTTAGGGATATTGTGAAAATAAATTATTTGTATTCCAGTTTATACTTTAGTTTTTTATTTTCGATGATTTACTAAATATTAATTTTGCTTTACTTTCATTTTCATTTATAATATCCTTCTTACCTTGATTCTTTGTCACTTGATGGCTCAGAGTAAATTGACGCTGTTTTATAATATATATTATCCAATAATTGGATAAATGTACTATATAAATAATTATAAGATTTACACTTTATAAGTTGTTAGACAATTTGAGTTCCCATATTAAATTTTTACATAAATAAACAAAAATTGCGATAGATATAGTTCATTTTTAAATCGAGATTCAGCTAATTCAATATTTTAGTTAGAAAAATATTGCCTAAGTCTAGATATTTCGCTAATAGATGTTCAAACCTTTGTGTCATCGATGAGAAAAATCGTCAGGTTTGTGTAATATTTTTCTGACGAAACCTATCCCTTTTTTAAAAATCGGCTCAAATCGAACCGTTTAACAAAACTCATTTCGAGGAAAAGCATAGGACAGGGTAGCATAAAAAATTATAATTGGCAATAATGACGTCGCTATAAAATTTAATAATTTATTTGCGATAAAAGTTTCGCTGTTATGTATTCGCACAAAAGAGTTAGCGGTAAGGGTTTCGCTAAAAAAAATTGCGATATTTGATTCGCGAAATAGTCTAGTTCCATTCACGGTAAGCGAAAGGGTTTCACAATAAAAATTTTGCTAAATTGACGTGGAACTCTAGATTTGACCTAGTTTCAACTTCTGTTCCAATTTCAAAAGGAAGTCGGGCCTCCAAATGCCACTCTACAAAGTTGCTTAAATTATAAAATAAATTATGCTACGTTTTTTTTTCATTCATTAAAAAATTGATATGTCGGACTTCGAAGGTAAAGGCTCTCGAGTTCGAATTTTGAACCTAGGGATAACTAAAAAATCAAGAATATATTGCGTATATATAGAATAAAATGAAATATGCTGAAAGACAAAGAACATAATAAAATTATTTACAAATAATTTATACATTTTTTTGCCATTTGCTCATTTTATTATTTTTTTAAATTTTATAATTGCACTTTCCTTCTCTATTACCTTATATGTAAAAGTTCATTTTTTTTACATGAGCAATAAATAAGATGATTCAAGAAAAAAAAATTTTCGATTATTTTTTTTGCAATGTTAGAATAATAAGGAATAATAAAAAATATTGTGTGTTCAGGTTCACCACTGTTCAATATTAAAATAAAGTTATAATATTATCAGAACTCAATAAGGTGAATTAATGTTTAAAAATGTCGATAAAAATGGAATATTAGGTCAATATTAGGTAAAAATAACAAGGACAACTCGTGTAATATATAATATGGAAATATTGTAAATTAACTATGATGTATGACATTTTGTAAATAAAAATAAGTTTTATTCCCACTATATATTGTATACTATTTTATTACTGTACTAATAATAAGTAATAGTGCTAGCGTTAGCGGTGCACGCTAGTATAAGCTAGTATTGTTATTTAATTGTTTTGTTAATAATAAAACTTAATTTGTAAAAAAAATTAAAGAAAACAAATAAATAAATTTTTAAAAAAGCGAACAGCACAACATATGAGATTTGTTAAATATTTTCATTATAATTAACATGTGTTTAAAAATATCCAGAATTTATTGTATATATTTTATTTATTCTAGGAGGATATTCAAATTTTTTATTTAGATTTTTAAAATATTCTTTTTATTTAGCAAGTAAAATATTATTTATACTTGAATATTTTTTATAAATTATAAATTATGAAAATATAATTTATTTTATTAATCAATTTAGTTTTTATTTTTTTGATCTTATTAAAGTACACTAAACGCCTTGTAAAATTTTTTATGGCCTCTAAATAATTTAATACTTGTATTTTTACTATATAAAATTTAAGTTAGTAAAGTGACGTCATGCTCGAAATCAAAGGTGCCACTCCGCAAATTGGCCTGTTCTCTTAATATTATTATTTTAAGCTAATAAAATCCATCCCCGCATACACCCCCCCCCCCCTACCCCTCATCCATCTATAAAAATATAGACAATAAAAAGTACCATATGAACTAGTAGACATCACAATTTTTTAAAAAGTCAATATCTACCACACTTGACTCGTACTCAATTCTGCCATATTTTTGAAATTGAAAGATACGATAAAATCCCCCACATAATTCAATTTTTATTCTTCAGAAATCATTTTTTAAAAATTTTATATAAAAATATCATGTATAGTGTTCAAAGAGTTATATAATTAGCAGCCATACACTATTAGCCAATTTATATAAATTTTAAAATGATAAAAGAATCCTCCTATTTATTTTTATATATGTTTGAAAATGAAATCTGTAATTAGTTTATTTTAGCCTAGAAATTTATTTACTTTTTAACCCGACCGGAGGCCGGATAAAAGAGTTTGGAGGCGAAACCCCCTAAAAAAACGAAAATCTACCATAATCGAATAATTTTTACCTAACAATATATCACTATAAGGAAGATTTTGAAAGAAAAATTAATAAAAGTTAATCACTTTTTAAAATAACAAAAAATAAGTGAAAACCCAAAATTATTTTTATATTAAAAAATAAATAGCCAAAACAATAAGTGAACCAAACGACCTCTAATAAAATATATAGCAGAAAATCCTGCCTAATTGTGCCCCCCCCTTCCGTAGGAAAATCCTGGATACACCTATGAGTGGCATACCATTCGAATAAATTATTCGTATCGAATAGTAATTGTTATTCGATTTGTTCTTACGAATATTAATTTGAACGAATAATATTCGAATAATTTTACTTTTTAAAAATATCATCTTTGAAACGTTTAGATTTTATGTAATTATTAATTTTAATGATTTTAAGATATATTTTATAAAAATAAGTGCTATAAAAATAAATTTCATCCGTCTATAACATATTATAAATTGCTCATATATTAATATTAAGTTTATGCATAACATCTAAAGCCAATTTTTAGGACATTTACAATAAGATAACTTTTTTTCATTTATGGAAGATATTTTATTCGCCATCATATTAGAAACGAAAGCGAATAATCTTTGACCCCCCCCCCTCCACTAATTATTTCATTAAAAAGGTATTGACGGAACATTTGGTCGATGTTTAGTAAATTAGGTTGTTATCCGAAATTTTTTGTCATAAATTATTTTTCCAATTTCAAAATATATCCAAAAATATTAACCAAAAATACAAATGTTTAATTAAAAATTGCACATCGCATAATTTAAGAGATGATAAATGGACATACCCCATTTGAAAAAGACATGATGGGCTTAATTTTAATGCTATAAAGAAAAAAGCTTTGAAGCTTTTAAAAATATTACTCAAAATTGGACAAATAGCAATAGAAATTTTTTTATTAAATATTTAATTGCTTATACTTATCTTATAAAGGGTAATAAATCGCAATTTAAGAAAAAAGAAGTAAAAAGTAGGAATTCAATGCTGTTGGATTTTTTTTTCTCTTTAGCTTTCACCTTTTCTGGTAGTAAGTTCCTTCAATATCTCTCCACTTTATGTTATTCATACTATCTCGTTTATCTAATTTATACTTCTTTATATTGGCTCTAACTTTATGGCCCCATTGAAGTTTTGGCCTTCCTCTTTTACGTTTACGCAATACTTCCAAACTCTCAACCTTATTTCCTATGTAGTTCATAGGCCTTCTCATTGTATGCCCATACCACCTAAGTCTGTTTACCATTATCTTAGTCTTAATGGGCACTACCTTTAAACTTCCTAGTATTCTTGTACTTCGCACCTTATCCTTTCTTGTTACCCCAGCAATCATTCTCATCTCCATAGTTTGTAGACTTCTCTCGTCTGATTCTTTGGTTGGCCATGTTTCCGAACTATATAGAATAGTTGGTTGTACTATCGAACTGTAAATTTTTCCCTTTAGTTTGTGTGGGATTCTTTTGTCAAAGAGCACTACAGATAAAGATCTCCACTTTAACCACCCTTGATTAATTTTACTCTTTATCTCTTTCTCTATTGTGCCGTTTGTTTGTATAGTGGATCCCAAATATTTGCAGCTTTCAATTGCCGATATCTGCCATTCATTTATATCAATGCTCTCTGTTTCATCTCCTCCGATCACTCCGTCTTTTCTCTATTTACCTTTAGTCCATGCTTTTCTAAGATATTTATCCAGCTCACTAATCTTTCTTTCATTTCATCCTTGGATTCGGCAAGTATCACATATCTGCAAATATCATATTCCACGGGACTGTTTGTGGTATAGACTATAGTGGGCTGAGAGCCGACCCTTGATGAACTCCCTCGGTTATTGTGAAGCCTGTTGAAATACCAGTTGTGCTACAGACCATTGTTGTATGGCCCATATACATATCCTATATTATTCTTATATATTTTTCGGGAACCTTTTTGTGGTGTAGCGCCCACCAGATAAGTTTTCTTGGGATTCTATCGAAAACCTTTTCTAGATCGAGAAAGACCATGTATAACTTTTTGTTCTTTTTCCTGTAATTTTCACTCATTTGCCTAATTGCGTGGATGGCATCAGTTGTTGATCTTCCAGGCATAAAGCCAAACTTAGTCTCTCCTATTTCGATTATGTCTCTTAACCTTTTTTCTATTATTTTTTCGTAGAGTGTAAGACAGTGTGAAATAAGTTTTATGCCCCATCTCATTGTATGCCATAGCTTTGGTCCTAGCCACCGCCTTAGCTATTCTCTTGGATTTTTTGTAATTTGTCTTGTCATCTGGGTTTTTGGATTTGTACCATATTTTATATAGGGCTTTTTTCTCCTTTATAGTGGTTTGTACCTCTTCATTCCACCACCATAGTTCTTTGTATGATTTGTTGCCTCCTTGTCAAGCCTAGTGTCGATTTGGCAGTGTCTATTAATCTGGATGAAAGGTCTGTCCACATTTCTTTCACTGACTTGTGAGGAATCGATTATTTCAATATTTGCATGATTGTGAAGGCATCTATCATTGTTTTTAATTTACCCCATTTGATGCATGGTTCAGGTTTTATCTTATTTTGAGTGGATTTATTTGAGTAGCTTGTGTTGCGCGGCGATATCTTCTCCTGGGATGACTTTGCAGTTACATCTTTTAATATTAGAGATTAGCATGTAATCTATCTGTGTTTTCCTTGTACCACTTTCATATGTTATTAAATGACTGTCTTTTTTTCTATAGTAGGTATTGGTTAAGGTAAGGTCGAAAGCTTGCGCAAATTTCAGTATATGCTCTCCTTCATCATTTCTTTCTCCGTATCCAAAACCACCATGATGCCTTTTGTAGCTATCTCTTGCTTTTCCCATATGCATTTAAGTCACCACCTATTATGACTAGGTCATCCTTAGGAATTTCCATTACAGCTTCATCAAGGATAGCTCTAAAGTCATCTTTCTCCTCTTCTTTGCAACCCGTTTAAGGAGCATATACTGAAAGGATGTGTAGTATTGATTGACCAATGCAGAGTTTTATCTTCATTAGTCTATCAGAGATCCTGTTGACTTCTACTACTGAGGTTAGATCTTGACTGAGGTTGATGCCGACACCGTTCCTATTGCTAACAATTCCATTATAGTACAATTTATACCCCTCACCAATAATTAGAGTCTTCTGACCTTTCCATTTCGTCCTTGTATGCACACTATATCTTTCTCTTGTTCAACATTGATGCCAATTCTCTCGTCTTACCTTTAAGTGTCCCAATATTCAAACTTGCTAACCTTGTCTTCTTTGCTTTGACCTTTATTTTACTTTTCGAAGGATGGAGGTCTACACCCTGCGCGTCGCTTGGAGGGAACGCCCTAGCTTTCATACTCATATTTTCATTTGTGTCCTTCATTTTTTTTATTGGACAAGTATCCTTAGCACCCGGCTGTCCAAGCTTGTCGGTGACCGGGGTGTCATCTCTAAGCTCCGATTCATCCTACCATATGTCTTTACACATCAGTCATCGGAGAAAAACCGGAAAATTTTTACGTTCCTTACCAGGATCGCCTGGGACCTTCTGAGCCTACATCATAACCCTTTAATTAATATAATTTTTTTAAAATTGTATTAATAATAACGAAAATGTGTTAGAAGAAAATAGTATCTGACTCTGATAATGATCATGAAATTTAATCGTGATATTATTGTGCATGAATCTTCACAGGCACATATGATGGCCGATAATGGAAGGCTTTCACATAATTAAAATTCCATGTTACAATTTATAATATCCCAGAAAGAATGTGTGGATAATAACCGTTCTATCATAAGAATAATAATAAGATGTCTAAGTTATTTAATATCTAGTAACCAAGCCTTCTGAGGGAACAGGCAACAAGAAGGCAATATGATTGGTTTAAACTCATTGCAGATTCTGAACCTGTACCTAAAATGTATATACAGCAAAATGAAGAAGATAGAAAAAAAAATAAGGGATTAAAAAACGAAATTATATTCAAATCTATTATCATAAAATAACATAAATATTCTCATTGAAACCATGAAAAATATGGTTATAAAAAATTCAAAATGAGATTGAATTTAACATGTGCTTTTCAATCATAGTTGATGGCACATATGATGTTTCGAAATCAGAAGCAATAGCTTTGATAGTAAGATGTTGAAAATAGGGAGACGCCTAGCCCATTGAAAGGCTGATAGACATATATTGACGGGAAATACAACTGGTCTCGATATTAAAAAGAATAAAATATCCAAACTTGGCTCCATGAATTTACCTCTTGAATTCCTAGTTGGGCAAAGCTATGATGGCGTCTCAAACATGAATGGAAGAATCAATGTAGTGCAGGTTTTGATTAGAGCGGAGTCGCCAAAGGCAGCTTTTATTTGAAATTATTGTCATTGATTAAATTTAATCATTGTTCAATTATGTCAATAAAAAAACTGCGAAATGTTTCAGGGAAATTAGACAAGATTTATATATATTTTAATGGTGTTAAAATGAGGTTCTCATCAGAGTAATGCACTGACAAAATCGCAACGATTTTTACTCATCAAGAATACCACTCGGTAATATCTTATTTGTTTAGATAGAAGCTGGCTAACGTCATATAAGCTATTGTAAATTTTTTCTACTTTATGATGCCTTGAGGGCAGCTTTAACAAATTTAAAGGATCCTGAAGATCCTGCCACTTCTTTTTTTAAATATTGGAATTTAGACGGAAAAGTCAAAAAATGAGATATTATCAAAATTTAATTTTTTCAAATATATAAAATTAAGTTTTAAGTATATCATGATGAAAGTCAAAAAATGAGATATTATCAAAATTTAACTTTTCAGTTATATTAAATTAAGTTTTAAGTATATCATGATAAAGTGTCGCGTTATCAAATGACTAAGTGATAAAGTGATATATCTTTATTTTTTTAGTTGATATTTTAATAATTACTTGAGGTAGTTATTTGAGCATTTTAATTCCAATAAATTTGAAGGTTAATTAAGATAATTATTTTTTAAATAATTGAGATGTCTACATGATCGAAGGTTTGACACTGACTTTTATTAATAGTAATAACAAAAGGTGGGAGAATAGGAAATCGACGACGTTTTAATTTAAGAGGTAGTTGGATTTCACTTGGTGCTAAATTGTGTAAGGAAGAGAAGAAGATAATATTTGAGGATTTTCGATATATTCCATATTAATTTTATTGCCCAAATTAAAGTTCTACCAATAATAATATCAATACAGATAGAACCAATATAATACGCCATGCAGTACATAGATAAACACATAATTAAATGTCATCTAAGGGATTCAACCAGAGGCCCGCCCCCCGAATTAATATATGTAATAGTAATAAAACCCTGTTCGGAATAGGTCAAAATTACTAACCACTTTTTATAACGCTTACAATAAGGTCCGGCCAATCCGCACGAAATTTTTTAGAAAATAATTTGGCCGGGTCCGGATTTTTATTTTTTTCATTTTTTCGTGGAATTCTTGAAATTTCATTATTTTATATAAACTGTCTGTATTTTGCAGTTTCAAAGGGAAATCGCAAATAGGAGCGGAAAGTGAATATTAAACACCTCATATGATTCTCCAACTGATTGACATAATTTTAAAAAATTCCTGGCCGGATTTTTAAATTAAGGCAATTTTTCTGGCCGGGTCGTTAGGCGGGGTAGCAGTCTCTGATAAAAATTATACATCATTAAATTATCGCGATAGAGAAATATAGGATAAGTAAAAAATGAATCTGTGCAGTTCTAGTAAAAAAAACAGCCATCATATATTTAATAAAATGAATAACAAACAATTTTTGTACTAAATATTGTAATCCAATAAGCTTATTTAATTAAATAATTTTTTAAAAGAAAAGTACTTGGTATATCCAAAAAAATTAAAAATCTTTTATTCTAATCCATATAAAGATTTTATGAATTAGAAAACGAACCATTTCATTCAAAATTCTACAAATTTTTTTAGATTTTTTAAAATCGATCTTATCATATGAAGATAGTTTTAAAAACCAACTGTGTCTAGATTTAATTCTATAATTTTATAAATTTAATTTAAATTGCTTACTGATACCATTTCACCATTTGATAATTTGAATCAAATTATTCTCTAGCTATGAACAATAATAATCACAAAGAAATATTTCAAAATGAACTCTGATCAAACTAATAAATATCAAGCAAAAAAATATTATAGAATTTGAAAAAAGATTTCTTCTAAAAAAATAATAGTTTAACTGATTCTCCTAAGGACTTACACAATAAATCTAGTTTGTCGGATCTTAAATGTTAATTGTTATAAATCATTGTAAATTATGTTAATGGAAGTGATATATGTTTATTTTTTAAAAATTATATTGTCAAAAACGATACGTTTTAAAATAATCTAAATATTATTTTTAATTAAATTTTTAAATAAACGATAGTGATTTCTTCATACATAAATCGAATATATTTATTATAAATATACCAATTCAATGTACAATATTAAACTTAGATTCTCTTTTTTTTTAAATTTATGTGATGTGAAAAAACAGATTAAAAAAAGTAATGGGGTTTGTACGCATTGCATAAAAATAAGAATTGCTATTTTTTTGCGCTTAATTAATTATAGCCTACATATTTTGAAATATTTTGACATTGATAGTTATTGATTATCATTTTATCAGAAAAACAAAATAGAAATGGTATTTAAAACATATGCTTAAACATTTGTTTTTATCAATAACGAAAATTATTATAGAATAGCAAAATATATCATCAATAGACGTTTATTTGTTTTTAATAAATTTTTTTATAACCAAATAAAAACCGATTCCAAATATCTATTTTTTTAAATTAACGATTACATTCTAAAAACCAGATAATGCCTCCCTTCAAAGCAGTTGAACACCCCAAATGTCCTAAATGCGGTAAATCAGTCTATGCCGCGGAAGAAAGGCTGGCCGGCGGTTATCATTGGCACAAATTTTGTTTCAAATGCGGTAAATTTACTTTATATTTTATTTGTTAACGTTAACGTCATATAATCAACTTTCCTCAAATTTTTTTACCATTTATATAGATTATAATAAAATTTGATTCAGATTATAAACATTATTAAATAAATAGTTAAATTTATTGGAATCTAACCTCGTTTTACAGGACTTTGACTTTTAAAATAATAATTATATAATAAAACAACTATTTAGTAATTCTCATTTATTTTATTGTATAAAATAGGTTGTTAAACGGCTCGAATTTCGCCGATTTTTTAAAACGGCTAAATCAAAATTAAAATATTACGCAAGCCTGATTTTAGTCATAGATGGCACAAAGGTTTGGACATCTATTATCGAAATTTCGAGGTTTAGGCAATATTAGCCGTTTGTAAAAATAAACGATATTTTTGTACAATAATTTATAAATAAAGTTATGCAGATTCATGGCCATCATGGAAATTGATAATAATAAATCAATTTCATTTTTTTTGCTTATTTTAAAATCATGTTAAATAAAAGTTATATAATCTATTAATTCTTTCAATAGAAAATCGAATCCATTATTCTTCTAAGCTTACTCCAACAATTTTTATGTTTATTTTAATATTGTTATAGGAGAAATTGTTTAATATCATTTTCATACTTTGTTTTTTTATTAGTGCTTATTAAATATTCGTTTATGGTTGTCGGTACTATTTGATTTTAAAACTTAATGATGTTTGTAATGGACCATAATAGTAGTAAATGAACAGGTATCTTTACTAATTTTACCAAGGAGTCAAAATAATCTTTTTTATGTCCCACCATAAAAGAATTAAAAACATTTTACGCCTAAAATAAATTAATCAAGAAAACTTAAAATTTTATCATAATAGATTATATAACAAAAAACGTAAGTTAATCCATTATAAATTAATATTAAAATTTTATAAATTAACAATAGTAGCACTTGACCTTACTCAAGTAAGGTCTTTACCTTTTTCCGTTACTCTGTAAAAATAGTAACAACATTACGTTTACGACTTTTTTTAAAATATAACAGCCTTACGTTACTATTTTTAAAAAGGTGACTCCATTTATTTTTATTTCTTTATTTGAAAAGTATTCGAAACTATTACCAAGAAAAAAGATTGCATAAATTGTTTTCCTTTTTCATCAATCTATATATTTATCAGAGAAGCAGAGGTCAAAATTTTAATCCCGACCCAGATTTAAATTTCTTATTTTCAAGCCCGGTTCTAAATTATTAAGCCTGGCCCTGTTTTTTATATCATTTTTCTGCCCGGGCTTGAAATTTGGTTATTTTGAATAATTTAGTTGCATAATATGAGCAGTAATGAATAAACATTTCATTATATTTTTAACTGATTAATTGATATAACTTAAATTAATTTTTTAAAAATTGATCCTCTTTGGCCATATCAGAAGTTATACCCACAGTCTTAATTAAAAAATTACTTAAAATACTCTCATTGAATCCTCCTTTTGGAGTAGGTTATGAATGGTTGGAAGCATTACCAAGTCATAATTTAAATAATCTCTTATCAAATTAACAATTAAGAGTTGCTATATACCGAATTGGATATGACATCGTTCAACAACATACATGTATAAAATGTAAAAAGTCTAAATTGTATATATAGTCAAGGCAGATATGCTAGACATGCGGCGATTAATTCCTAATTAGCCATAGTCTTACGAAGGCCCGAATACCAAACATTCCTAGAGCCTACTAATTTATCATCAGATGATGGTCTGGAGCTAGATCGTTTTCAGTATTTCCTTAATTTGGACACATGCGTTTCTTTTTTCCAAAAAATGTTCATTTGAATCGGATTGATATTGCCGAGTAAAAATTTAAATACTCTAAATTAACTATTTTTATCCAATGATTCTTTCTTTCCTTGGACATTATATAAAACTCAACTTATGTTTTTTTAAAAAAGATATATGCACAAAATCAGAGCCTTGCATCAGAATTTAATTAATTTTTATTTTAAAACAAATAAATACAAGTATCATAATATAATTTTAAGTGTTCTTTTGAAAAAGAATTTTTTAAAATAATTATATGCTTATTTTAAAATAATTTTTAATATTAATTGTTTTTAAAAGGTTTTATATCTCAGCATTTGCTATGCCGAACACCCTTTCAATAAGTGCTGAGACTGTGTCAACGCTAGGATTATTTTTGAACTTTCTGTTTAACTAGGTTCTTCCGCCTTTGAAGGTTTGTCTTATTTCTAAACATTATTCTGTTTAGCCGACTATATAGCTTCCTTTAAACAGCCTATAAAGAATAAGTGTATAATATATATTTTTGCAAAAAAGTTAATTATATTCTCCATTGGGTCGATTTTTAAAAATGGCCCGATTAAGATTTTGAATAATATTATGTAAGCATCGAGATTTGATAAATAGAGATCAAAACATTTAGGCCATCTATGAGCAAAATCTCTTAACACTCTCCAGTATTCATAATTATGTTTTAATAGTATCGCAAGTAGACTAGACTCACCACCAAATCTGAAGACTCACCCAATCATCTGATTAGCTTCACTTTGATACAAAATAAAATAACCAAGGTATCAAAAAAATTAATTTGATCAATGTTGTTATTCTAACTAGATAGAATTTGATACAAAATAAAATATACAGGAACTGTAAAAAAATTGAATTTTATCAGTGCTGTTACTAGTTAGAATGATACAAAATAAAATAATACAGAATGATACAAAATAAAATAATACAGGAATTGTAAAAAAATGAATTTAATCAAAATTTGAATATTTTTAGCCTTTACATATTAAAATTTTTACCATCTGCTTTTACTATTTGTTATTTCTAATATTTTATATTTTCAGGCAATAAATATATTTACAGGATTTGTCGTTGTTTTCGAACAGAAACTCTTATTAGAGAGCATAAGATATGTATACAACATTTTTTATATTTTGTTTTCAATCAATTTAAACATAAAAAAAAAATTAAAAAAATGACAATACCCCTATTTTTATCGTTACATTCATTTTAGAAAAAAATCAATTAAATATGTTCCTTCCAAGCTTTAACTAAATATGCACATGCGATTTACATTTTTTAATTAATATTTTTTATATCAATGAATAAATTTTCTTTAATTATTGATGGTCTTTCCAGAAAACAAAATAACTTAATATCATTCTTTTACTCATTCATTAGAAGAATTTAATTCTATATTACCTTCTAAATCTTATAAGTCAAAAATAATCCGCGTAAAAACATAAGGATATCTTGTATAAAAAATCACAACTTTCTTTTTATTCAAAAAAAGTTTACAGATATTCTTTTTATTAACCCTTCACTACATAGGTGAAAAAAACTCCCGCGGTTACATAGGTGGGGTCTATTTTACCCCAAATTTTAAATAGCTATATCAGAAAATAATAAAATTTAAGAACTAAAATTTTATATACTTATTGTAAAAATATTAGAGATAATAAATACAAAATTTTTAGATTTACATTTATTTATAAATAAAGTTGATATATTTACTAAAGCTGCTCAAAAAAAAATCTTTTTTTTGGAACTTTCCTTAATCATATGATATGACCAAAAATAAATGAATGGAAGCAAATTTGATTATATATTTTATTAATTCAATATTTTATAGTAATAATTAAATGAATTTTATAATAAAACATCAGATATTAAAAAAAATATTTGATATTAAAGTTCATGCATTTTTTTTAATAAAACATTCACGACATGTTACATAAATATGATCTTTGCATATAAATTTTGAACAATTTGAACAAATAAATGAGGATTTCTTGTCCCTAACCCTTAGACAAGAGGGGCACCTTCCTTTTTGTTTGGTTGAAATAGGTTTTAATTCCTCTATATTTAGCATGTTCCCAATATTATCCCTTAGTAGTTTATTAACATGTGGGTTTTCATATCTATTACTCATTAATAGAGTTATTAGCTCCATTGCTAATAATTTTATAAACTTTGATCTATTAATCTCCTTTAAATTATTGGATTTATAAATTATTAAAGAATTTATGCAAGATATATTCAACAAGTTATAAAAAATTGTCATGGCCATCTATTTGTTATTCTGGATATTGAATAATTTGAACATAGCTGATCCACAACATCAACACCAGCTTTGGTGAGATTGTAAAATGTGATAATTTCTGGTTTTTTCAAATCCCCAGTTGATGTATCAATATTGTTATCATAGTGAAGGGTAGAAAGCATCATGCTTATACTTTTTTGGTACATATGATACTAATGTCATATTATATTAGCAGGCAAATAAACTTGAACAAATATCTTTTTTTAAAATTAAATGATGTGAAACTGCTATTTATTTTTTCTTAAAGTTCCTACTATTGTTAATGAATGGGAATTTAATAAATGTATAGCAAGTTCATAACTGGTAAACCAGTTATCTGTGGTGACATTCCTATTACTCTTAAAAATGGGCTGAATTAACCTCTCAACCACATCAAAAGGCTTATTTCTCAATTTATAAGGTCCTTCAGGCTGATTGCCAGCATATAATTCTATTTTCAAAGTATAAAATGTCACTAGAATAATTCAAATTAAAAATCATATGTTAAATTTATGATTATTTACTCCACCGAAAAAATAAATAATATAAAATTTTCAAATTTAAAGTCATATATATCAATCAAAAAATAGATATAATTATATTTTTTTCAATTATATTTATTAACCTGACATACATAAATATAATTAGTAACAAAAAAAAAATTGGATTTAAAAAAAAAATTACATCATTACATAGGTGGGGTATATTTTACCCCAAGCTCAACAAATAGCATATATCTCAAAAACTATCAAATCAATAATCATGAAATTTGGAAGTTGTATTCCTTGTTACAAAATATTAAACTACTGAAAAAATCAGGTCGGAATATCTTCTAGCTTTTGTATTACAAAGATTATAAAAGTTGTGGGGTCCTATTTACCCCACCTTTGTAGTGAAGGGTTAAAATAATAATAATTTCGATTATTTTATGATATATTTATGCGATATAATTGATACACAAAATTATATTAGCAAATAAATTTATTTTTTAGATTTTAAAAATAATTTTATAGATATTCCGCTGACTTTTTCTGAACAATCCATAAGTTTAGTGTAAAAAATTTTTCTTTTTAATAATTTCTTAAAGAATCGTAAAAATAGGGGTATGATAATTTTTTTATATGATGTTCGAATTGCCTGTATAATTTTAAAATTTTTATTCCTAACTCAATTTCTTAAACTTTAACATTCTATTGATTACAAACTTTAGAAAATTAAATAGTTATCATTCTTAAAATTGAAATAGCATTCTCCTTCTTATTAGGGTGCTTTAGAAAACTGAATAGCTTACTAAACAGACCACTATTTAGAATTATTAATCTGTGAACACTACTTGAGGGTGGCATGAGTGTAATATATATATATATATGAACAAATTTGGAAATTGTTTAAGGTTTTTAACAAAAATCAGAGACGATTTTTAGACCCGGCCCTGATTTTTTAAAATATATTACATTTATTTTTAATTTTTATATGGCAATTTAAAATATTCGGTTCTAATTCAGGCCCGGCGCGAGTATTTAAAAAGACAAAAATAAAAAATTGTTAATACCATAATAAAAATATAATGTAAAGACAGGGATGCGAAGCCTGCAAAATTTTTGCCCGGGTACAGTTTGGGTTTGGTTTAAGGTAAAAAAAATAAATAGGTGGGTTTGGTTCGGGTTCGGTTCAGGAAAATATTTCAATATAGGGTTTGGTTCCAGGTTCAGCTCAGTTTTAAGAATTTTTGAATTGAATTTTTTTTTTTATATTTATATCATAGTTAAAAAACTAGACATAAATTTGGTATAAAAAATACATTTTTTACTTTATTTATAGGCAAAATATAGTTAAAAATACAAAAGTTTACAAAAACTGCCCTACATCTTTTTTTAACAATTTTTAAGTTAGATTTTGAGAATTCTTTAAATTAACATATCCAATATTATAGTTTTTACATGACTTGTTCACCTTTTCCTAAAAATAAATGGCATAAATGAATTTAATTGTTAAAAATTTATTAACACTCCAATAAGAATCTTTGAGAATAAATTTTAAATGGCGTAAATGGATTAAGTTGTTTAAAATTTGTTAACACTTCACTTTATTGGAAATTTGAAAATATTATAAAATCTCTTAAATTATATTTGTATTTTTACAATTATACAAATATCTTAATATATGATTTTAAACAATACATTGAACCCGGTTGAACCCAGGTTCAAATAAAATTCCCGGGTTCGGTTCGGGGTTTTGAAAATTTTATAAGCGAGGTTCAGTTTCGGCTCGGGTTCAGATTTTTTTTCAAAATTTAGGTTCGAATCCCTGGTAAAGAGTAATGTAAAAATAACGCTTTACTTTAATTTGTAAAAATAATAATCAACTGATTATTTTTTAGAAATACGCTCTAGATTAGAGGTCTGCATTGAGCAGGTTTTTGGACAAAAAGCTCTCCCACCCAATGTTATAAAAAAATTTAACCCGCCTGCCCATTAGTCTAAAATTTTTTACCCACCCGCCCATTATTTATAAAAGATTTTAACCCAAGCCCGCTTATAAAATTTAATTATGGCCATTATTTCAATTTTTTAAGCATCTAATAAAAATAAATTCAGCATTACACTCTATGGCAATTAGACCCGATTTTATCGTTTTGTTTAATTGAGAATTGTCTTTTTGAAAATATCCGGTTATTTTTTTTATTATCTATAAAATCTTCATAATTTACGAATGAACATTGATGTCGAAGGAAGAAGGATGTGCCTGTTATTAAATCATTGCAGCTAATCCAATCTAGCTTTTTGTCATTTTCATCAAAAATGAATTTAAATTGTTTCCACTTTGAACATTTGAATTTATTGTCTGATTCATTATCTTTTAGCTTGTAAAAATTATTTTTTATTTTTTTAGATATATTCCTTATTCATAATATAATTTTAAATAAAAATAATATTTTTATTAAAAATTATGTTATAAAAAATAAAATTTATGTATTATATAATATAATAAAATAAAAATGAAAAGGGCAAATATAAAATATACAATTATTACTAAAATAAAATAATAAAATGCAGATTGCAGACCCAAAAAAGGAAATTTTTATTTTCAATATCCAAAAATGATTGTTTATTTTAAAAGAAAAGTTTTATTACATTTCCATAAAAGGAAATTTAAATTTTTAATACACAAAAAAGTTTATTTATTCTAAGAAAAAAGTTTTATTGTAGTGTTATTACATAATATAGTTAGGTAAGTGTTCTTCACTTAAAAAAAACGAATGGTACAATAAAAAAAAGAAGTTATTGATCATTTAAATAATTAAGTTTTATTTTTAGTTTGTTTTTGAACAAAAATTTTAAATTTTTTTAACCCGCCCGCCCATTGTTTAAATTTTTTAACCCGCCCGCCCATAGTTTCAAATTTTTTTAACCCGCCGCGGACTGAAACCCCCACCAATGCAGACCTCTACCCTGGATTATATTTATTCTATATCATTCCATTTGTAATATCACACTTTTTTATTTTTCTTAAAATTACCTTTTACCTAGCCCCCTCCTCTTGCTAAAAAAAATTAAATAAGTATAATAATCGAATAAGATATTGATTAAAAACCTTTCAACCCCAATAATTAATGTTGTCATAGTGGTATTGTGTTAAAAATCCTTTTTGGGTCAAATTTTAAAAACGGCCCTATTTAGATTTTAGCTAAAATAATATTACATAGGCCTGGAGATTTTACACATAGATGGCATAAAGGTTTGGACCTCTATTTGCCAAATCTCAAATCTTATGTTAAAATATTTTGCTAAAATTTTTATCCCGTTTTTTTAAATTGTCCCATCGGGTCGTTTAACACAACACCACTACGAATAATTAATATAAGAATCAAATCATTTCATATTTCATTTATACGTATTTATCGTCGTTGTTAGTCATATGATTAAAAATAAACTAAATTAATTGTAAATAATGTTTGTATATTTAAAACGTTTGCGGGGAGGGGATATTTATAAATTTAAGATATAAAGGCATAAATTATTGATAAAAATAATCGAAAAAATCAATTATAATTTATTTTAATTAATTTTTTAAGGCAAGCAAATTTTTTTTTCTTGTTTGACTTCAAACTTGCCCGAATTTTTTATATTTATTTTTGACCCGGACAGGCTCTTTAAAACTTGACCTTGATGATTTTTTAAAATTTTGATAATTTTACTGCCCGAATTATAAAAATTATTAAAAATAATATTGGTCATATTTTGTAAGCTTCTCAAAAGGAAATTAAAAATATGAGCAAGTAATAATGAATGTTAAAGGATAACTTTACAACATTTACCGACATATACCAACATATTAATTGTTATAATTTATTAAAATTATTTTTTAATAATCTAGGTTTTATAAAAAGCTACTTTTAGGACAGGGTTTATAATTTTTTACCAGGCCCAACTTCAAAATATATTGCTCTATAAGGAATTGAATGTTTGAATCCTAAAGATAAACAAGTTACCTAATTTATTTTCAAATTTATATTAATTTTAACTTGAATAAAAAAATGACTTCAGATCTTTGCAACAAAATGCTCGAGAGTACTAACGTAACCGAACACGAAGGAAAATTATATTGCAAGCAATGTCACGGTAGAAAATTCGGTCCTAAAGGTTACGGTTTTGGTGGGGGAGCTGGAGCACTTAGCATGGACACTGGAACCCATTTGGGCAATTATGAAGGAGGCGAAATGACGTAATATATTGTCTCGAGGCTGAAATAATTATTTTAGTGAAATTAAAAGAAGTGTTTAATAAAATATTTTAAGAAAGTTGCATATTTTTATTTTAATCTTTTATTTTCTTCTTAAATAATAAAAATTAGCACATTTGATATGTTGGTTCAGGTTCTTTTAAAAAAGGCAATCAATTTTATCAATATTCATTTCATTAATATTAATGTTGCGTCTATATTAATATTGTCATCGGATTTGTTCGGATATTTTACATTTCAAAGAAAAAATAAGCCGCTTAGGGACTTCTGCCACTCATAAGGAGTAAGGGAAGTATGATGTAATTTCGTCATTAAAATTAAAGGGAGATAAAAAATTTATTAAAATGCTATCATCATTAGAATGAAATTGAAAGAAGGGGGAGAGTTTTTATTTGGATTTCCTTTTCTCTTTTTTTTCAATTTTGATTTGGGGTAAGAGTGCAGGGTATGAATTCAATTGGCTTAGGGAAGTATAGAAGTCTTTGCATATTTTTATTAGGGTTATTTCACGTAAAATTGATCAGGGTTTGTAGTCTTCTTTCAATTCAAATCAAACTTTGCATGATGATTATATATAATTAGTTTCGGAGATATGGTGGGTCAAAGCTAAAAAATGACGTTTATCTTAATTCGGAAAACCCAATGAAAATATATATTACTAAAAATATATAAATGATAGAGACCTCTATTTGGTATCATTAGATAGCACTTGAATTCTTATCTTAAAAATAATTAAAATCTTTAAAAAATATCTCAAGTGTCCTGTAAAGGTAAAGGCTGACTTTTTTAATTGGTATTTGTTTGACCTTTAAATTTTCTAAAAATTGGTAAATATGTTTGTTAAATCAATATAAATTTATAGTGGTGGATAACCATTTTTTTATAGTTATTTAATTTATCTAATTTTTTTATCAATAAAATAGTATGCTAAGAATATCTAAATATTATTTAATATCATTTAAAAAGATATATACTTAATTTTGTGTTGCTGTCAAAAGATTTACAATTCGGGTAATTCCATGACAAATCGACAAGTGATCCAAACGACCATTTTAAAAATGGATGAAATTTGGTATGAAGGTTAAAGATTGTATATTTCATACAAATTCAAACTTTAATGCCCTAAAATATATCCCGAGTTATTGGTCTTAAAGTTCGATGAGAGCATTTTTCTTTTTTAACGAATCTCAAAATATTCAAATACTTTTTGGTCTATAACAAATTATATAACATTTTATACCCATTAAAATTCTCCTTAATAAAATGCAAAAATTATTTAAAATATCTTCAGTATCGTTGTATTTTCGGTAAAACAAAATATTTTTTGAAAAGTGTCCCATTTAAAACGATGAAACTCACGAAATATGTTTATTGCCAATATATTTACATATTTAAGTAAAAATATTGATGGAGAAAAAAAAGTTTTTTTATAATTTTGAGAAAATAAAAATTAATTATAAAGGGCGTTTGAAACGATGAAACGCATCAAATATGTTATTACCAATATATAAGTAAAAATATTAATGGAGAAAATATAAAATTAAATTTTATTAAGTTTTTATAATTTTAGGAATAAATAAATCAATTATAGAGGGCGCTCTCTATAAAAATAATTATATAATATTTTTTTTTAACTGAGGTATTCTTATTTTCTCCATTGATATTTTTACTTAAATATTTAAATATATTGGTTATAGACATTAGTGATCTGCATCGGCCTAATTTTTTTTAAAAATGTTTTGTCGGCTCGACCCAAATCCGGTATTTTTTTTAAAAAATTTTACAGGCCCGGCCCGAATTTATTTAAATATAGAAATTAATTCTTTTAAAATATTATAATTACTCAAAATAAATTATATATGTTATATTATTTTGCACAAAAAATTCAACATAAAATTGAAATTTAGATATATTTAAAAAGATTTCCAAGGCCCTACCAAGCCTGTATTTTTTTTAATATTAGGCCCGACCCAGCCCAAACCCGATTTTTTTAAAAAAAATAGGCCCTACTTTTTCAGATCTCTAATAGACATACATGATGAGTTTTTTCATTTCAAACACCCTTTATAATTGATTTTTTATTCCTAAAATTATAAAAACTAAATTAAATTTAGATTCTTATTTTCTCTAGTAATATTTTTACTTAAATATTTAAATATATTGGTAATAAACTTATTTCATAAATTTCATTGTTTTAAACGGGACACTTTTCAAAATAATTTTTGGTTTTACCGGAAATACAACGATAACGAAGATATTTTTAAAATAATTTCTGCATTTTCTTAAAGAGAATTTTAAGGGCTACAAAATGATAAAAAAATTTGTTACTTTAGGCCAATAATATTTTAAGTATTTTGATATTCGTTAAAAGAGGAAAAGGCTTAATCTCGAGAAATATTTGATATAAAATATACCATCTATTTAACCTTCATGCCAAGTTTCATCTATTTTTAAAATGGTCGTCAGAAAATCGCATTATTTAGGCCGATTTGTCAACGAATTAACCATTTCATAAAAAACTTTTAAAGAAAATTTTACCTCTTTATTAAAAACAATTATATTTCAAAATTTTAAAAAAAATCGTTCATTATATGATTTTCTGAATGTTCCAAATATCAGACATTGGGAGGTAAATTAATTATTGAAATAATTATGAACATTTTTATATGAAAGGTTATTGTTTAGGATATGAGTTATAAGTAGACCTGTGCGCCGACGAAACTATCGGCAGCCGGCGCGATTTTCAAAAATTTTATCAAAGGCCGGCGGCGCGCCGATTTTTAGCCGCCGTCAACAAAAACGGAGTAAATCGGCGCAGTTATAAATTTTTATATAATTTTTTTTTAAAATAAAATATACACTACACATATCTTGGCATATTTTTTTAATCTTTATTTATGAGAAAACTCATTATACACCCAAAAAAATTCAATTTTATAATTGTCATGTATAAAAAATTTTTATTTAAATTTTCCGGGTATAATGATGACCTCCTCGAATTCAATGTCAATCCAGCGGTAGAGAAAACTCTTTCACTGGGTGTACTAGTCGCCGGAATACATAGAATTTTTTTCGCCAGCCTGGAAAGATTGGGAAGTTCACTCTTCTTTTCTCTCCAAAAATTTAAAACACCCATTTCTTGTAAATGTTGTTTTCCAAGTAGAATGTGGCATTTTTGTTCTAAGTCACCTAATGTGGAATCATAATTGTTAATTGTGGAATGTTTATTTGCCAGTTTTGTCAAATAACTTGAATTTGATAATACCTCTTGATCCTCAGTCGCTATATTTACTACCTTAATATCATCATTCTCTATAAGTTTAAGATGTTTTATTATAAATTCTGAAGTTGTGCAATTTTGCTCTTCTATATACTTTGACATAATTGTCAATTTTTGAAATCTTGGATCTAAAAGAGAAGCCAATACCTAGATAATTTTTTAAATAAAAAATAAATTAAATAAATGAATATACATGTATATTATTACTTGCAGATCACAAACCGGAAATCGTAACGCAAGTTTTTTTAGCATATTTTCCTTAAGTGAAATTATTTCAGAACTATCACTTTACTATTAAATGTGTTTCAATTTCACTTCTAAAAAGTAACGCCAAGTTTAACGTAGGCCCTTTTGTGCTGAAAGAAATTCTACAGTTTCTTTAAATTTTGATAGAAATGCCAATAGTCCTTATACCAGATCAGATTCATAGGTTGATAATTTTAGAAAGTGTTTCCCAATTCTTTTTAAAACATTATTTATTAAATTCTTATTTAATCCCGATATGCTTTCTAGCATAATTAATATATTATGCCAACGTGTTGGGACATTTAATTTTAACGTTTTCATATGCGTGGTAAAGTAAATCATTTCAAAATTATCATTTATTAAATGAAGTGTAAATGTAATATAGTTTCTTCTTCTATATTGATCTGTCCACATATCGAATGTAATTGAGCAAAATTTTGGCCCTTAGTTAATTTGTTCTTGTACATATGCTTTCATTGATTGGTAAACATCATTAAGAGCAGTACGGCTTAGTGTTGTCCTGTCTGGCAAATCAGAATCTTAGTTGATAACTTGATATTTCTAAAAATAAGTATTTTGAAATTTATAACAGAAAATCATTATATCTTTAATTTATATCAAACAATAAATTAGTTATTAGGACAAATTTAATATTATTTAAATCATTCATGTCTATGTGTAAATCATATTATTAGCATGGCTATGAAATTCAACTATTGTAAACCTTCCTCATCAGCTAATGCTATTTCAATAGAAAAAAAACAACATAAAGGTAGATCTATTATGAATAATATATCAATATTTTTATAAATTTGATACCTTCAAAAAATCTTCCATTCTTATATTATCAATTGATTGAAAAGGTAATAAGTCAGCACAACATAATAACACATAGTTTCTTGCTAAAAGCCATTTTTTAGAATTTGTCTGGAATTTTGGTTTGGATATAAAATATTTTTTTAAATCTTGTGATTTTGATGAAGTATCTTCTTTAATATTATGATCAGAAGTCAAGTGTTTTGACAAATTTCCTGTGCTAATATTGATTGAAAAGTTTTGAATTCTATAGCTAGATTATATTTTACAAAACTTATATTTTAATTTATTAAAGATTTTGGCTTAATATGAGGGTATAATATTTTAAAAAAATATACTGTGAAAATGGCTTATTTGAATCCTCATCGTCTACAATAGCCAATAAAATTTTTCCGAATTTATGGAAATTATTTTATTATCTCTTTTTAAATGTAAGAAACCAAAAAATTTCCAAACAAAAGATTTTTTATTTTTATTATTTATTGTTATAATACTAAAATTATTTATAGAATTATTAAATGTTGATGCATCCATTTTAAAAATATGTAAAATTATGGTAACTTTGAATGATTGAATTTTATAATGACATCAATATAATTATAATTTTAAAATTGTAGAAGGATATGGTAGAGTGAATTTT